GGGGTGTGCGCGCAGTGGGTGACTTCATCTTCCATTTATAAAATCTTATCAAATGTCTATTTAGCAAGTGCATGATGGGAAAAGGGCATGCGCAGCAATTCCGCCGGGAGAATCCGACTTGCGCTCTTGTCAAAAAACGTCATTCGTCTCTGGGTTTTTCCCTCGGTGCCTTGAAAAGCCCCCCCACTTTTTCCACCTTTATCCCCCCCCCCACCCTGTTTTTGTGCAAATGGCACTGAATGTAGGGCGGGAATGAAGGCGATGCGGAAAATGGACGCCGTCGGAGTGGAGCGAAGTCAATCGAACACACATGGACGTCCTCATATTCGGGAGAATTGAATAACGACAACCGATTCGATTCATCGGCCGAATCGTTTCAGATACGTACACAACCGAGGAAATCACAACAGTGACGATATGAATTCAAGTCAGAACCTTTGACTTTTACAATACTTTTAACTTCACAGCCGAGAGAAAACTTGGCCACATTTTTGCTTTTTTGTGTGCGTGTGGGGGCCCGGGGATGTTTGAACGTCATTATCTTTTATTTTGTTGTCACAAATAACATCGGCAATAAAAAGGACGATTTTTTTGCCGATTTCGGGAGCTCATATTAACCGATTATATTGGCCGCCGCTTACTTAAGAATCAATTCAACGATGTACACGCGTGCGTGTGGTTTGTGAAGTGTCTTAATGCCTGCGTGTGCACGCACATGCGGTGCGAGGAGCGTGATGCGCGTGCGTGTTCGTACACGCGCGTGGGAATGCACGCGACTCGTTTGTGTGACCGAGTGCGGCTTATTGGGATATGTGAGGGGTTTGTACGTGTGGCCTGCGCGCCACTTGATGTGGTCTGTGTGTGCGTGCGCCCGCGCACGTGTGTGTGTGTGTGTGTGTGTGTGTGTGTGTGTGTCGCCATCACACCACCGGCATCAGTGCGCTCAGTGCGCACAGGCGGAACATTTCAATATGCGCTCAGCTGCTCACACACACACAAACACACTCGCAGACGCGCCCGCGCGCACAAACGAGCCCGATGATGTGTCATGTTCTCCGTCAGTGGCTTTGCTCGTTAAAGCGGGCGAGATGAGGGGAACTGGAGAGGCTTGTGAGCCGCGCAGCCTCAATTAGACGTAATTAGCCCATCAAAACGGCAGCTGGAGGGGGTGTACGCGCGCAGAAGGGGGTCCTCGGGGAGCCCCCCCCACCGCCCTCTCTATTCCCCCCTCTCCGGAGAGTCGCCTCGTCGTCCTGCTGCAGACAGATGGCGCGCACGGGGTCACGTCGTCGCCAGCTCGCCGGGGCTGTCGTATCGGGCGTATGAAAGCAGGCCGCGGGGCTCCTTTTTCCCACCCAGCGAGCGCACGCGGTCCTCCTCTCGCTCGTCATCCTCTCTTTGCCTCCCAAGGAGAACATTCGCCACCTGTTGAGGGCCCCCCCCCCCCTCCTCCGACAGGAACTAGCCCGCCAGGCTCCGAACAAAAGGAAACAGACGCTTGCGTAACGTCACCATGAAAGAGGAAAGAGTGCGGGGTTCTTTTGAGGAAAAAAAAAGATATTCTAGGAGCTTTCCAGATTAAAAAAAAAAAAATTAAAAAAGCTTACCGTTTTTGTTTGGGTTTTTTTTTTCTTTTATCGTTGTTGTCAAAACGAGCCCGCAGCGCAGATGCGACGCGAGGGCCACGAGGAGCCGTTTGCGAGCCCCGGTGGAGCAATTGCCAAGTTGCTCTTCGACACTCTTTACGGAAGGGGCGCGCAATCAACCTCGCCGGCTCAAAGATGCCCTGCTCTCTCACCTTCAACGTGACCTTCAGAGTCCTGACCGACTCTTTGGCCAATCACAAAGCAGAAGAAAGTAATCTGAGGAAAAGGCACGCAAGAAGGGAAAAGACTCCGGGGTGGGGAAAGAATCGTTGAATGTTCAAATAATGAACCACATTAACGCACGGGGCAAACACGCACGCCTCCGCCAAGGCCAAACAAGGACACCGTAGTACACTTCAGGAAACCAAAACACAGAGTTTGGTTGTCAAAGAAGGAAAGGCTGTCGTCCAGCTGTGTTTTGCATTGACGAAGTCAAGCCGCTTTCCAGTCAGCAGCATTTTGCCACATAAAATGTGAACATTCCGTCCATACGAAGCGGACAGTCACGGTCAAACTAAACAGAAAGTAACGGCAATCACTTGGCAGATAGCTCAACAACCACATAGCTGAGCTCTCAAGTTGAATGCCAGCACATCATCGAGAGTTGAGAGTCCCAACCAGCAGAAAACCACACACACACGCACACACGCACACGCACACGCACACACACACACACACACACACACACACACACACACACACACTCGAACGCGTGCGCACGCGCGTGCCTGAAGTAAGCTACGCGCAGCTGCTAATAGCTCCAACAAGTGACTGATTACGGAAAGTGTGAGGAAAAAAAAAAGCAAGTGAAGGCCATTATCACAGCACGGTACAGCGTGGACAGCACGCTAACAATCGACTAGTTTTCCTTTTGTTACATAATTAGCAGAGACAAAAGGCTGGCGCCACTAACGACGTTTGGCTAACGTCACGACGGAAATGAAAAGAGTCTCAAAGGCGGCGATACGAAAGCGCCAGGCAGCCAGTGCACAAACTGATAAATATGAATGTACATAAATAGATTAGAGAGGAGAGAAAACCATTACACAAGGCCTCCCAACACACACACACACGCATACACACACACACACACACACACACACACACACAAAATGATGTGGGCAATTTCTGGTTACCATGGTAACTACTTTATCAGTGTCACCACTTTTGTGAAGGCAGCAGAGCATCCCGGTTACGGGCTAGCGTCCCACTCGTAGATGAGCGCACCGGGGAAAGCGAAAGGGCGAAAAAATATCCCACCCCGGACGAGGCTCCAAATCATAGCCAGACACGTTCCCATGACAACAAGACCCGACGACGGTGCAACTCCAGACCACAAAAAAAAAAAAAAAAAAAAAAAAAAAGCGGTTCATGGGGCAGATTTGGATTAAGGCGTGAAAGGGAAATTTGGGTTTCAAACCAGATTGGAATTTCAAAGTAGGGACTCAAGACAGTGTTGGGCTTTAAATTGGGGTTTCAAGCGTGGGTTAATGCTTCCAACTATCGGTAGGGTTTTCATTTATGATTGCAAGACGGCGCGCTATCGCTTTCATCGAGGGTTGAAGACAGACTGGAATTTGAAAGTATGAATTCACAACAGTGTCAGCGTTACAAAATTGGCGTTTCAAGCCTGGCTTCGTGTTTCAATTTCAGGGTAAGGTTTCAATTTAAGGGTCAGGTTTCAAGACAGCATTATCATCTTACTCTTGCGTTTTGGTCACAAGTCAGAATTTGTCATGATTTCAGACAGCGTTGGGGTATCATATTATTTTTTCAAGGCTAGGTGAGCGTTCTGAATTGGGGTTCCAAACTTGGGGTTAGGGTTTTAAATTCGGATTTCAAGCCCGGCTTCCCATTTCAAACTAGAGTCAGTGTTTCAAGTCAGGGGTGGAATTTCAAAAGCGGGGATTCAAAATAGGGTTCGGGTTTCAAACCTGTGGTCGTGTTTTCACACAGCGGTATACTCTTCAAAGTTATTGGGGCGGGGGTTTTTGTCAGTCGTGAGAGTCGACGCCGGCCAGCGCCATCTGTCGGTCCACCCGGTCGGTCGGCGCAGCGGAGCGTCACAAAAGTTGCAAGCGGCGGCGGCGGGCTGGAGCTAATTGCCGCAGTCCAGTGAACAATTTAAAACAGCTCATTTGGAGGCAGTGTTATTTTTTTTCTCTCTCTGATGGTTCTTCTATTATCAGCGCAGCCAGAGGGGACATTAAATATGTTCAGAGAAAGAAAGCCGCCTTGCTGAAAAGGAGCGGGCCCGTGGCCTCCGCAGGCGACATTCAGCGCTCAACGTCAAGGCTTTGACTGCACTTGTTCGTTGAACGCATTAGGAGGGTTTTCGGCGGCCACCAAACGCTTTCAGAGTATTTTTAGGTGCACCCTTGAGCTGCTGGACCTGAGGGACCCGTTGGACTACATCGGGATTCGGAGTGCTCCAGTGAGGGCTTGGGTCTCCCAAATCGTATTAAGGAACCAGAATTCGATTTCGGGCATCGATTTTGGTCTCTGAGACGGAAGTGACATCAGAAGCACACTCCCCATTTGGCCGGCTAGAAAAGCCTGGCTCGAAAAAAAAAAAAAGTGATCATTTGGAACGCAAACCGTGTCAGGCTGTCAGCATCAAAGTGTGCGGAACCATTTCCATTAACCGCCTTTGGAAAGTGATTAGACGGCGGCTCTCTGCTGCCGATGGTGCACTTTCCAAAGATCTTGTTTTTTTTGGTAAACATTTTTTAATGATTTTGTTAACATGTTTCCATTTTTTTTTTTTATTCTGTCATATTTTCCCAGCTGATATTTTTCTTCATATTTCAATCATTTTTAGTTGACAGTTTTTTTCCTTCGCTTGAAAAACGTTGCACTTGTTTGTGTCTATTTTTTCTTGATATTTTGTATTGGTTGTCTATTTCTTTGCATGTGTGTGTGGTGGCTTATGACATGTTTTTTACCCTATGCATAATTGGGTTCATTTTTCAAGCTTGCCTTGAGTGGAGAATGTGCTGAGGTTCCAGCCCTCGGACGGGAGCGAACGCAGGCGAGGCAAGAATGACGGCGGCTCCTCGGGCGACAGATCGGCCTCACCGATCAACAACATTGGCTTGATCGCGCGGACGGAGTGGGCGGCGACGACGGCGGGACCAGCTGCTTGGAGACCGAGTGGCGCAGTAGGCGATAGGCGGATGGATCGGCCGCTGACACGAACGCCTGAAGCCGTGCTGGGGGAAAAAAAAAAAAAAAAAGTCATCGAGAGGAAGTGCCAAAGCGCCTGTGGAAAAAGGCCCGTGAGCCCGCTTGCGTGGGATTTTCGAGGTTCTATTTGCAGCAGGGGACACAATGTCATTTTGGCAGCAAAGACATCAGGCCTCCGCTACTGTCAAACTCGCACACGCGAGGCACCATTTCAAGTCTGAGGACGTTTCCAGGAGAGCCTCACCCGCAAACTTTTCATCATAATTTGGGACGGTTGGTCTACAAAGTAATATTTGGGAAGTTTTTTTTCATTTTTTGCTCAGTATTTTTGGTTTTCATAATCATTTTCGGGCGGCCTGGTGGTGCAGTGGTTAGCGTGTCGACTTCACAGTGCAGAGGTCCTGGGTTGGGTTCGATCCTGGTGTTGTTCTTCCCGGGCCTGCGTGGGTTTTCTCCGGGTACTCCGGTTTTCTCCCTCGCCTGCGATTGGCTGGCCACCGGTTCAGGGTGTCCCCCGCCTACTGCCCAAAAACGGCTGGGTGAGGCTCCAGCACCCCCGCGACCCTTGTGAGGATAAAGCGGTTCAGAAAATGGATGGATGGATTATTATTTTCCCAATTATTTAATCTCCAATTTCTATGTATTTATTTTCAATTATTTCGAATATGGTGTTTTTTCTGCTAATATTTTGTATTTTTCATTAATTATTTTTGTTTTTTATAATCTGGTGTCAACGACTGCGAGTACTTTTCTTGTCATCGTCTCCTTCCATATTTGTGCCATCACCATTTGGTCAAGGGGAATCGGTATCAAGCAGCCGTTTGTGAACAAAGGACTTTGATTTGGATCTGATGCGCCCCGGTCTACACAATAGCAACTGCGCCAGAAACAAAAGACACATCCACCCAAAAGCACAGCAAACGTGTCTTATTGGTTCAAAACCTATCTATGTCACTCCGGGAAATGCTGCTAAAAATAACCCAAATGTTGCCAAAATGTTCTGGGGAGGGGGAAAAAAAGAGCAACAGAGGGAAGAAAAAAGCCAATGATGTGCACAACCTCTGTGAGCTTCTATCATCAACAAAGGCACGCACTTCCCCCGTGCTGCTGGGGCAAACCAGTGTGGGGGGGGGGGGGGGGGGGGGGGGGGGGGGTCAAGGTCGTCTGGCATGTGCAGACAATCTGGAGATGATGATGTTGATGAGGCTGGTGAGCAACATCGGCTGCTGTTTATTCTATTGGTGGGCTCCCCCTGGCGGCTCATTGGAGAACTACACGAGATGAAAATTGGGGTCCCTGGGACTAGCAGCAGAAAATTAACTGGTGATACCAGCGAAAAGGTGAGTATAAAAACGCTAGAACTTACACACACACACACACACACACACAAACTGTAAAATTATCACTGCGACCTGAGAAAGAAAGAAAGAAAGAAAGAAAGAAAGAAAGAAAGAAAGAAAGAAAGAAAGAAAGAAGGAGGTTGTGAGTTCAGATGGTCCTGAAGGCAACACCGAGTCGACGTATGCGACTAAAAAGACTCCAAAAGGGCCGTTTTTGACGCGGAGTTTTCGGTTGTGTTCGAAAACAATCGTACGAAAACTTCCCTGGATGTAATGTGTGACGGCCACCGGGGCATTCCGTCGCGCGCGCGCGTGTGTGGTGGAAGGAACTCAAGCCCCCGGGGGCAGTCACCACCGAAGAATGGCCGCTGGTTAAAAATTCATCCCGCAGCGGAGCCCAAAAGCGGCGTCTCTTTCTCTCTCTCTCTCTCTCTGCCTCGTTTGTGTCACTTACGTTGGCTGGGAAATTCTTTAGCCAAGTGCGAGCGGCGCCGCTGAAAGGTGAGCAAATTCAAGCGTTCGTTTTGCCCGCTCCACCACTCTCACTTCCGCATTGTTTGGCGGCGCGCGCGGAGGACGGCGGGTGTCACGTGGTCAGGGAACTCCGGTGATACCAGCGAAAAGGTGAGCAAAGAAAGCGGGGTTTCTTCAAGCTTCGCTCCTAATTTTATGGTCAACCTAAGTACTAACTCGCTTTCAAACTAAAAACGCTAGACCTTTAATAAACACACACACACACACACACACACACACACACAGACCAAAAAAATGGCAGAAACAAGTCGTTGTCACAAGTTGTCACATACCTCGTGTATCAAAAACGTTGATACTTTACTCGAAGGAGGTGCATTTTATGACCTCCAACTCCCATTTCTCTGGCCCGCAAAAGCTTGCCACTGTTTCTCCTTGCCTCCTGTTCCAATCAAGTCAGCAAAATGATCATACTGTAGCCACGTGCAATTGAGTCGTGACCAGAGTAAATTTCGTCAAGCACATCTTACTTTAAAAAGACGAGATTTGGTCCCAGGTGAAACGAAGTAAAATATTCAGTCAATTTTACCCCCCCCCTCACCCCGCCCCCAAACAAAAAAACAAAACAATTTGGCGCAATATTTACTTCTTAACGTTTTTTTTTTTTTATCACTCACAAGTTACTTTTTCAAGGGGAGTTTTGAGCTAAATTTTACTTGTATAGTATTCTTTCATTAAATAAAAGGCCCCTCCTGCTGTGAGTTCGTAAATCGCTGCAGATTTGCTTGGGGTCTGCTTTTGGAGCTACGAGTGGACATCATAGCTAGCAAAATTGTCGACTCTTTTGAAACGACATCACAACAATGCCATGATCAGGGCAGTTCCCCCGAAAATCAAACAAATCAATGACCCTTGAAAGAGAAACAATCATTTGGGCTTGGCTGCTGGAGCGCTCGCATCAACAAGCTGTGAGGTTAATCTTGTTCACAGTCTATCCCGTTCTGTCCATCGCGTAACGCAAGTCCGATCCAGCGTCCCCGCAGCATCTTCAAATGGATCGAAAGTTGTACTGTCCCAAATGGCATGGCTTACGGCCTACGAATTCCCAAATATTGACAATGGAAACCGAAAAGCGGACAGATTTTGCAAAGTGTTTCGGTGTCTCCAAAGGAGAACCCCCCCTCTCCATTTTTTTTCCCAATTAGATGTTCTCTGCAGCCCGACTCATCCAAACACGGCATTCTGATTGACGTGCTTCACCAAACAGGTGAGCCGTGATTGGTCGTTACCTGAGCCCCGAGCGACAGTTCACATCGTATCATCAGTTCGGCTGCCCTTATTCCAACCAGCTATTAGGGGTAGTGCCGGACCACAAGATAGCAGCAGTGTGTGTGTGTGTGTGTGTGTGTGTGTGTGTGTGTGTGTGTGTGTGTGTGTGTGTGTGTGTGTGTGTGTGTGTGTGTGTGAATGCCTTTGATGAACCCTCACCAGCGTTCTCCTCTGTTGTACGTCCCTCCTCCGTGTTGGAAGACCACCCGCCTGGCCTCCCGCCTGATTGGACCTTTTCAGAGCCGTTCAAAGGCAGCGGGTACAATTAAAGATGAAAATCGCAAAAGAAAGAAAAGACAGTAAGTCGCGGGCCTGCCCGCGGGTGCTCTTTGACGCCTGGTAACGATCAGCTAGGCTTACGCTTCGGGGAGCAAAAGATCACTATCTGGCAAGCCGACACCAGATCTGGCAATGGGAGCCCGAGGAATAATTTGGTGGACGGCACTCATAATCACAGCCCTGACACCGATCCTTCTTGGCGACCAATTGTGTCCGACTGAGTGCTCTGCCCTGATACTGATACCCGGCGGGGAGCCGTCATGCACGGGTGTTTCTCCCGATGTCCATGCAAGCGGGCTGTACACTCATTTCAAGGAAACCTTTGATGAAATATAGATGGATGGATGTTCTTTTTTTTTTTTTTAAATGCTTCTCCAGTGAACCCCCAAAGGGTTCACTAGAGAACGATTTGCAAACACTGGATGTTTCCAAAACATTTTTGTTGCTGTCGATACTAATATCTTAATTAAAGACCAAATATACTCCAAACTATGATCCCAAAACGCTCGACTATCATTTCAATTATCCTGATGAATGAATAACTTCGTTTTGTTTTGTTTTTATGATTTAGTGCACTGGCAAAAAGACAGGTTGCGAATACACCATACTTAACTTTGCTCCTCCTCTTACTTGACTCTAATTACTACTTTCTTATTAGCCAGGACTTTGGCGCCATGTGGCATTACATAAAATCAGTGGGTTTTCTTTAAAAAAATATAATTTTTTAGAAAGTATCTGAGCTCGGCTCCCGAAATAACGTGTAAAGGTCATCTCATGAATAGTAGGTGCATCGAGCAGGTGCTGATGAAGTGCTGCGTCCAACAGTGAAAATGCGATTTGCGCTTTTACTTTGTGAGGGAGCCTGATGCACTTTGCAGCTTTCTTCTTCTTTAAATTTGGGGACCAACAAGTTGTGCCACCTGTCGTCGTTACTTAAACAGAAGCCATATTCAATGTTGGCCTCAGAGAAAAAGGCTGGTTTCTGCGAGGCTTTAAACAGAGGGTGTCCCGTAATTCTTGATCCTTTTGTCAAAAACCCGGCCTCTCCTTTGTGGTTTGTCTTTGGCGTCCTACGTCTCATCCTTTCTCGTTGCCTCTCGTGTCATCTCTGTCAGCCTTTTGCATTATTCATAGCCCCGCCCCCTCTGCCGCTACCCGGCACTCTCGGGTTTCACCTGTAGAGCAGGATGACAAATTAAGACTCCTTGCGCCGGTCGCCGCAATGAACTCCTGTCAAAGTCGTGCTGAGCGAGAGAGAGCAAGTGTTGAGTGAGAGGAACGTGCCACCAACAGAAGTTGTAGTCGCGAGAAGATGCGTAAAACCTGAAAGCTTTACCTTGTATTTTTTCTCCACCTTTCTATCCGTAGAAGAAGAAACTATCGGAATACCACCAAGATACTGGCGACCGCAATTCTGATCTGGTTTCTGGTCATGTGCGGAGGTGAATATAACCTGGTATCACTGTGTGTGTGTGTGTGTGTGTGTGTGTGTGTGTGTGTGTGTGTGTGTGTGTGTGTGTGTGTGTGTGACAGAGAGAGAAATCACTTCCCAGGTGTCTTAATCACATTCTCTTGAGATTTGTGTGTGTGTGTGTGTGTGCGTGTGTGTGCGTGTGTGTGTGTGTGTGTGTGTGTGTGTCAGAATTCCCCAAGTATGGTGAACTTTGAAATTGGCCTGTTTCGAGGGGGCAGCCCTGTCTAGTGCAAACGCGACAGGGCTGCTTACACTCCGACCCTCGACTGAAGCACCAATGCCACTTTGGTTTTTTGTTAACATGACCAGTAGGGACTTGTAGTAAATGCAATGACTGTATTTTAGGTGTTCCGAAATATAGTAGCAGGCCCTGGGAAGTGAGAAAAAGATCTCATCCACGGACAGAGGAGACTCAGGAAAATGTCTCAAGGCTCCATGTCCGAAAGGAAACAGAAAGTTGGCCATTTTTGGTTTGATACTGCCACTTTGGGATCCAGGGATCATACTCAGAGAGTACAAGTCATGTTTCCAAGGCAGACAGACTAATTTGCAACGATTGCCTTGAACATTTTATCTTCAGTTGAAGGATTCGCCATGGAAAAGAGTGTGTAGATTGTTTCAAGTTTGACACGTTCCATCCATGTTACTGGAGGCTTTTGTCCACTGTCTCTTGTGAAAGCTGGAAAAGCTGAACCATACGTCTTCATGTTTTTCTTTAAGCCATTTTTGAAGGTGGTTGAAATGCCTACTGAATGTCTGCATATCCATGTGCGTCCAGGAGATTTCATGGGGACCAGATTCATACAGCGGAGAGCTCTGGCAAGGCGGGCGTGCCCTCACACAGCACAAATCCACCAAGGCATATCTAAACTTTCTTAAAGGTCAGACTCTGGAGCATTTTGTTTTCTCTCGTCTGAACACATCAGCTCTTATTTTTCATGCTAAAAGTCAACCCGATGTCTGTGTTCAAATGTCCTGCAGTATTTGGCCACCAGGGTGATGGTGCACTGCTAGCCGAGTCGTCGCAAAATGCCTGGCAAGAAAGACCCCAAGAAGGACGACAAAAAGAAGGGTGGGAAACCCGAACCTGAGAAAAAGAAAGAGGAAGAAAAGAAAGGGAAGGAGGACAAGAAAGGAGGGAAGGATGACAAGAAAGCCGCAAAAGATGACAAGAAGGGAAGGAGGAATGATAAAAAAGGGGGTAAGGATGACAAGAAAGGGAAGGATGTCAAGAAAGGAAAGGAGGACAAGATGGGAGGAAAGGATGATAAGAAGGGAGGTAAAGACAAAGGAAAGGGAAAGAAAGTGGAATCAGAGGAGGAGGAGGAGGATGAACTCCTGGATGATGAAGAAGAAGAGGAAGAGGACTTGAGCGAAGAAGAGGAAGAGGAGGAGGATTACAGGAGGGCTCGGGCAGGAGGAGGACGCGGGGCGGCGGAGAAGGGAAGACGAACAAGAGGCGGCAAAGACTTGGAAGAAGACGAGGAGGAAGAGGATGAAGATGATGAGGAGTACGAAGAGGAGGATCTCAGAAAGAAATCAAAAGATGGCCACCACCACCGCCATAAGGATGGGAGGTCAGATGTCGATCCGAAGAGGAAAGGGAAGACGAGCGAGGAAGCGGCTCCGATTCCCAGTCGGGAAATCCCCAAAAAAGGCCTCAAGAACATGTCCCGCATGTTCATGAAGTTTTCTGGTTTCAAGCGGCGGAGAAACAGCCGGAAGAAGCTCAAGAGCACCTCACGCTTGTTCCTTGGACTGGGCAAGAGGCGGAACCGACTGGCCAAGAAGAAACGCCGCAAGTCGATGCTGAAGAACACGTCTCGCTTCATGATGAGGTTCAAGGCCAGCAAAAAGCGAAAGAAGGAGGCCAAGGAGAAGGCCGCAAGCGACGGCAAGAAGCGCACCTACATGCTGCTGCGCCTGGGCGGTGGCGGCAACTCGTCTGAGAAGAAGGGCGGATTCTTCAAGGGCTTGTTTGGAAAAAAAAACGGACTCGCCGGCTCCATTGGTGGACTCAAGGGCAGGAGTGCAGTGCTAGGTCGGGTTGCCGCGGCGGCTAAATGGCTGAACAACCATTTCCTGTTCAACAAGATGCGAGGACGCGCTGAGCAGAATTACTTGGAGGGAAACCGCGGGCACAGCCGCCGACGCCACCTCCATGGGTACCACAATCGTGGCTATGAGCACTGGGAAGATCCCGATGAATATCATAGTTACGGACACTTTGATTACAGCTGTGGCGGTTACGGTGACGAGGTACATTTTGGGGGACAAGGTCCAAGGATTTACTATGATGATGGAGTTGGGGCAGACTACCAGGACTTGGGGTACTACGAAGATGAGGGCATCTACGACCCCAATGCGGAATATTATAGTCAAGGTCTTTATGACGAGGACGCAGAGGCCTACTATGACCCCCACCTGGTTGCCCAAGGGTACTACGACAACCAGGAACTAGCATTATATGGCTACCAGGAACAACCACAAGTGATGCCAATGTACAATGAAGTGGGTCTAGACTACTATGCGCCAATGGGTGAGGACCCAGGATATGGACTTCATCAGGCTCAGGTTCATTATGATGCAAATGGCCAAGCGGAGTGTTATGAGAACAGTCAAGCTTATTTCAACAATGTCCATGCAGCAGCTTTTGGAATCCAAAGCGAAGCTCTACCAAACTACCATGATGTTGGCGGTGTGCCCTACCAGGAGCACTACAACTCTCAGCTGATGCTTGGTTATCCTACAGGAGGCCAGCAAGTGATGGAAGTACAGTCTCTGTATGGGGACCAGAACGCAGACCAGGTGGATCAATATGGGGGAGATTCTGGAGGGCTTCAGGGGGGTGAGACATTCCGAGTTCCCAGACCTCAAGTGCGTCTCTTTGGAAAAGAGCGCCTTGAAGTACCACTCCCCCCTCCACCTAATCTTCCGCCTGATCCAGAATTTGAAGACATGTCCGATATCCAGTACGAAGACCAGATACCTCTCGCACCAGGTCATTCGACTGGTATAATGTTCGAGCAGCAATTGATATCTCCGCAAGAACAAATGATGATGTCCCCTAAGCAACTCATGCCAGCGTTGTCACCGCAGCAGCAAACCTTAGTGGAGCGAAATATGGTACCCGAAATGCTGCCACTCCAGGTTATGTCCCCACAACACATGTTAACCCCCCAACAAGGGATGTTGTCTCCAATGATTATGCCCCAATCGATAATGCCGCCTGAGGAGCAAGTGGCAATATCACAGCAACCAGCGATGTCGCCACAAATGATGCTTCCTCAAAGAGTGATGTCACCTGAGGAGCAGATGGTGTTGCAGCAAACAATGTTGTCATCTCACGAACAGATGATGTTGCAGCAGCAGATAATGTCACCGCAAATGATGATTCCCCATGCAATGATGTCACTGGAAGAACATATGATGTCACCGCAAATGCTGTCACCCAATCCACTGATGATACCCCAGCAGGCTTACGACCTCCCGTCAGTCCCCTCGCCAACTGCAGTGATTATCAAGCAAGCAGGTATGTCCCGACCCCTTCCTGCCCACCGCATGCTATCCTCTCCCAGCCCATCGCGGCGCTCTGTCATGATCCCCCCACCTCAGGTACCACATGACCCCAATCCTCCGGCCTCAAGGATACCCTCACCAATTATGCCACAAAGGCATAGCTCCTTCCCACATTCAGCCATTAGGAATAAGATCACAAATGTCCAAAGACCCCCCTCTGTCATTTCGCGGAAGATTTCGCATCCTCCCTCTCCCGTGGCTTCCCCTCTGGCTCGTCCCAGAATGCGAGCTCGGTTCCCCCAGGCTGGGATACCCCCGCCATCATTTTCACCCCGTGCTACCACGATTCAGCGAAGTCCTCCACCATCACCAAGGACCTCAATGATACAGCGCTCTCCTCCGTCGTCACCACGTGCCTCGATAAGGATGCAAAGTCCACCGACAACAACCGCTCCTGCCAGAAGTCCATTTGGAGGGAGGAGGTTGACTGAACATCCTCCTCCACATCCTGTATCTCCTGCCCTCTCTCCTCAACTCAGCAGAAGGCAATCTCCCACTCAATCTCACCGAAGTTTATCACCCGAAGAGCGTGGACCAGTATCTCCCACGCTCTCCCGTCGTTCGACTCGGCTAATAAGGGATCCCACACCACTAACTAGACCCAGGATGGGTGGCAATGTTCCCTTAGGAACTGTCAGACCATCACCTATGGGGCTTAGAGGGCGTCCAGTACCCCCACCCACCCAGAATGTGCGTCCATTCCGTGCCGCTTCTATAAGAAGCAATAGATCATCTGTTCTTACTATAGACTCTTCTCATCAGTCTTCTCCTTTTCAGTCACCTCACACGATACATCGTGCTCCCCTTGTGAGGCGTGAGTCTGGCCTTTTTCCTCCGCGCCCTGTGGCCCGTGGGCGACCACTTGTGGCCCAAAATTCCTTGAGGAGGATACCTCCTGCTTCTCCCTCGCTCAGGCACATTTCACATCCTGCATCCCCACGCCTCTCTCCTCGACATTCTCGTACGTCCACCCCACTCTTGCCTCCTCCCGGCGTCCATCCTCCAGAGCTGTATGGCTCGGCCCTGTATGTGGATCCTTTCACCGACCCAGTTGCTCCACCTGTTTCACCGATGCTTTCTAGTGCCTTACAAAATCAAACTATTAGACAGGCTTCTTTATCTTCCCCTTGTGGCCTTCAAGCCGTCCCAGTGGTCGAGCCGCATCTTCCTTCATCACCTTTTCTCCCTGCTGCGGGGCAAAAACAAGCACTTCAAGATGGCTTCAACCATTCCCCATTGGCCACCCATGGGTCACCCATGATTCCTTCTCCGTTTTTGTCCGGAGCGCTGCAGAATCAAGCGGTGAGAGACACATCCCACGTTTCTCCTTTGCAGAGGTCACAATCTACCTATGAGCAACCTAATGCCCCTTCCTCCCCAATGGTATCCAGAGCCTTGCAAAACCAGGCAGTCAGAGACGCATCTTATGCTTCCCCTCTACAAAGGCCAGAATCCCCTTATGAGGAGCCTGTGGCCTCTTCCTCCCCAATGGTTTCCAGAGCGCTGCAAAACCAGGCGCTGAGAGATGCCTCCTATGTTTCTCCTCTACCAAGGCCGTTCTCGCCTTATGAGGAGCCTGTGGCCCCTTCCTCCCCAATGGTTTCCAGAGCGCTGCAAAACCAGGCGCTGAGAGATGCCTCCTATGTTTCTCCTCTACCAAGGCCGTTCTCGCCTTATGAGGAGCCTGTGGCCCCTTCCTCCCCAATGGTTTCCAGAGCGCTGCAAAACCAGGCGCTGAGAGATGCCTCCTATGTTTCTCATCTTCCAATGCCTCAGTCCCCATATTCCCCGCCTGGGCCTTCATCCCCACTGCTTTCTGGAGCCATGAGACACGGTCAAGCACTCAGAGGCGTGGCTTCCTATCCCACTCCGCAGTTCCGCACGCCATATGGACCGACATATGTTACCGGGTACGATTATATATCTGAGCCTGGCCCAGCACTGCTGCTCTATGACGCTTTGCAGAACCGCGCCGACTTTCAGAGCGTTGCGTCTTTAAGGTCCCCAATGATACAAAGCCCTTACGGACCTGTCAGCCCCAAGCTGCACAGGGCACTGCAGCAGAACCCAAACCTCCGCCAAGCATCCTATCAGACTCCTTTGCAACTCAGGTACCCCTACGGACCCCCGCAACCTTCTTCACCGATGCTGACGAGTGCCATCCACAATCCACAGCTTATTCAGGCGTCATACAGGATGCCAAATGGAACTTTAGTGTTACCTTATGTGGAACCACGTTCCTCACCGCGGCTCAGTCAAGCCTTGCAAAACCAGCAAATCCGGGGAGCTTCATACATCTTGCCTGATGGATCAATTATCACGGTGGGTATATTCGTGGGTATAAACGTATAAATATGATTTCCAACAAGCGGTGGGTCACTTTCCATTCGGCCCTACACAGGACCCGCGAATTCCCCAGAAACCGATGTCTCCTGACCTTGCCAGAGCGCTTCAGAACCAGGATCTCAGGACTGCTACGTACACCCTACCCGATGGCACAATTATCGACCCTAAACACCAAGTAACGCATGATTTATGACTCATGAATTGAACACACATTGCGTCTGCATTAGATAACCATTAACCTGTCTCTTCACATACAGCAACCAGTTTCCCCAGACCTCACTAAGGCCCTAAAGAACCCTGCATTACGTGAAGCATCCTACTCGCTGCCAGACGGTACTATCATTATTGACCCGAAAAAATCAAAATCCCCTAATGTCGCAGCAGCACTTCAGAACCCATATCTGAAATCGGCATCGTACACCCTGCCCGACGGCACAATCATTATCGACCCGCGGAAGCCCGTCTCTCCGAGTCTTGCCAATGCCCTTCAGAACCCTGTCCTCAGGAATGCCTCCTTTAACCTGCCGGAGGGAGTTCGAGACCCCAATACACCCATCTCGCCAGACTTGTTAAAGGTTTGTTATCAGCCCTAATTACAAGGCACTGACGTGATGAAATAGCTGGTTTCTCTGTAGAATCTTACCTGGCTTGAACCTTGCTGTCAACCTATTCCGTAACAGGCTCTTAATAACCCAGCCTTGAAGGGGTCAACCCTCACCCTTCCTGATGGAACCATGATCCTCGACCCAAGAAAACCAAAGAGTCCCACTCTGACCGCTGCCCTTCAGAACCCCTACCTGAAGGGTGTGTCGTACACCCTGCCTGACGGAACCGTCATCATTGACCCGCGTAAACCGCTCGCTCCCGACTTGTCAAAAGTACATGATCCTAACTTTTTGTTTCCCCGACTTTGCAGGTGGTGTATAGATTTCAAATGGTTTCTTGCTTTTACTGCCCGGTAGGCTCTTTCCAATCAAAACATTCGGAATGCTTCTTATCAACTGCCTGATGGTTCCCTGGCCATCCCTGGTCAGCACCCTGCGACTCCAAACCTCACTGCTGCTCTGCGGAAGAACATGACCCTTCGTTCTTCCGATCTCTTCCACCTCCCACAAAACTCTTCGTTCACGGGGGCACCAAAACCCGACAGTCCGAACCTTTCCTCTGCACTGAAGAATGATGAACTGCGTGGCATCCGTTATAGGTCAGGAAGCAAACCGCAGAGATAAATCTGGGCAAGTGACATAGTTGACACGTGACATGAAAGTTTTAACTTGAGCTACGTTCATCCGACAGGCTGCCCGATGGCTCTGTTCTGACAAGACGGTTTCACAATCCCAGCCTAGCCAACGCCATCCAAAACCAGCAGCTTCGCTACGCTTCGTACAGACCCCCAACAGCGCTGTACGGCACGGATAATCGCTACGCTGCAGTCCCACCCTACGGGCCGCACTCAGGCCACTGGGCACGGAATGCCAGAGGCGGCGGCGAAATGGGGGAGGATGTGTGGGCAGCTGAGAGAATTTTGCCTCACGGAACGGTCCAGCATCTGGCCAAGTGGTCTATGTATAGGGAGACCGGTGTTTTGGACGGCTATTTACCCACACCCACTGTCGACAACGGAGAGCTTCAGGATCCAGACTGGACTCCTGTCCGAGAGAGGGTTCCTGGGCAGAGCTGGTATGACAAGGTACTAGGTAGTTCACAGAGAATCATCTCAAATCCAGACCATGATGACCAGATCCTTCAGGCTAACAATCCATCTTTGTTATTTAGATCTACTCTATCCTAAGTATGCCAACAACCAGCCACAGGGTGAAGCGCTGGGCTGAGGGCATGGAAGACTTGACGCAGCTGCCGTAAGACTCACAACTGTAACATCGAGGAGCCCATTGGTAGACTCAGTCAAGGCATTGTTGAAATCCGACCTGTTTATTTTCAGTGAACTGAATGAGACCACTGTCCTGATGAACCTGAAGAAACGCTACGACCAGGAGCTCATTTACGTAATTTTGTCCTTCTGTGCATGTAATAACCCAAAATGAATGAGTCACAATACAAAGAGCCTTTGATTTTCTCCTCCGAAAGACGTACATTGGCAGCATCCTGGTCTCCCTCAACCCCTACAAGCTGCTTAACATTTACGGCACAGACATGGTACTGCAGTACGAGGGACATGGCCTGAGCGACAACCCTCCGTAAGACCCACATTTTGTTGTACCCGTCTTGCCGTGGCACATTGATGTGCAAATATTTTCTTCAGATTTTGCTGTTTGTTAAGGTTCATGTAACTCATTACTAAACACATTACCTGGCGAGTTCAGCGGCTACTGTTACACTGGATTTAAAATGTCACCCTTCCAGATTTGCGGCTATTATAATACTTTATTCTACATCAGAGTCTGCACCGCCGTTTTAGCTTTTAGCATGCAACTGTACTTGGAGTCCAACTTGTTAGATTAATGGCTAGTGTAATTTATCACTAAAAACTCCACCAGTCTAGTCCAGTCGCTCTACTTAAGAATACACTGTACGGCTACTGCATTGTATACAGACGTCTTTTAAGATTAAGAAGGTTAGAAGCGTTTGCTGATTGCATGTCCTTGACTTTGATACGCTACATATGTAAGCTATGTAATGCTAAGTTGCCTCGCAGATGCTAACAGCGCATTATTATTATTATTATTATTAATGGTGCAGGCGCTCTTGGGTAAACGTAGGCGGTGACGCTTGGATGCTTTACGATGACATCATGACGTCGCTCCTACTTGACTCTTTGCCCGTGGAAAACCAAAAAATGTTCTTCATTTTTTTTGGGGGGGGCGTGGTATATTACTCCACCCTTTTAGTTTGCCGACTAGCATAATAGGTTACTGAAATGTCCACTCTGCTTGTTAAGTGTCTGATGTATTACTATACTGAAGAGTTCACTCTGCTAGCTTAGCAGTACTCATGTTGGATGTAATTGAATAATAAAACCTACTTGAACTACTGGCACTGTATGACAAAAAAAAAAAAATGTGCATCTGTGTTGCAGTCATCTTTTTGCCCTCGCTAATCTCTCCTACACCAACATGATGGATGCCAAAGACAACCAGTGTATTGTGATCAGGTACCAAGTTTGAATCCCTTTTGTTCCAGAACTTTTTTTTCCCACATGATATTGAATTTAGCCCATTTTGGAATGATTTGTTTGCAGTGGAGAAAGTGGGTCGGGGAAGACGGAAGCCACCAAAGTGATCCTACGCTACCTGACAGCCATTCATCACAAGCGAAACGTGACGCAACAGGTTCATCTGTCATTTTGATCAACCCATGTCTTGTGAATTACAAGCAAATATTTAGGCTCACTCCATTGTCACTTTTCTTGGTCCCGACTGTGTCCCGTCAGATCGAGGTAAGGCATTCAACGGCATTGTGGTCTTGCTGGTTGGAGGTTGCCAAGGTAACGTGTTTTTACGTCAAAGATCCTGGAAGCCACGCCCCTATTGGAGTCCTTTGGCAATGCCAAAACGGTGTGCAACGACAACTCTTCACGTTTTGGCAAATTCACGCAGATCTGCATGGAGGAGTGAGTCAAACATTCCAACTTCCGAAATGTTGATCTGATTTTTTTTCCCACATTTTTGGCTCGCTCTGGATTTCTTGACGGAGAAAAAAACACCCGCACAACTTTTAGCACATTGCTTTTATTATTTATTTTCTAACAGTTAAAAATTACTTACGCTATTAGGCAAACATTTTTTTTTCCCCAAAAAATCATGACCTTCTTGGTGTGGTGTGTATTTCACTGTGAGCTCGTGAGTAATGTCCACCGTGATAACGATACCGCACACAAGCAGAATCCAACCCTCGTACGTGAAACGTTGACACTCTTGGGTGACAAGTTGATCTGGGCCAAACAAGACCCAAACACATTTCACATGCACCGATTGTTACTTAACTCTCAACTCTGTGTGTGTGTGTGTGTGTGTGTGTGTGTGTGTGTGTGCGCGTGTGTGTGTGTGT